TGATTGTTTTTATTAATATAATATTAAGTGTTGTTAGAAACGTTCACTGAAAAATTTTACACAATCACGTTCACAATTTAAGATATATGGATGAAGAGTGATGAATGTATATTTATTTTACAACATGTACCTATGTGGTTTTTTTTTTTACTTTTATTCGTCGTGTTTGTCATCACCTTTTTGTTGCAGTAAAAATGATTTTCTTACGTTCTACTTCAGCATCTGTTCTGGCAGGAAAGTATAGTTTAAAGATAGTTGGTATATACTCTGAGAGATCAAAAGAAAAAAAATGTTCAACCTTGTCTAGTTTTCTATTACGGCGTTCATCAGCCGTTTCGCGTGAGGCAGCGCATAGGACGATGTTCTAGAATAAATAGTATTTTCCTCTCCACTTTGCTGCTGTTGCGTTAGATAGGGATCCGGCCAAATCAATAGTTACAGTAATAAAACAAAAGTGCGTGGTCATAGTCCACGGCATGCAGCCATTGTGCTTTCCGGTCATCGTTTTCTTCGACGATCGTGCCAAACTTTGACTTGGCTTTTCGCCACCCAAAGTCGAATTGTCATACCTACACATCCGTCAGTAGTCGATATAGGTGTTCTCTTCCTACGAGGTCAGTTTCGGAGTATAGTTTCCCCCCCCCCCCTTGTACATAGAACGTTCCTTCTGTATTTAGGGGCGATTGTAAATTCCACTGATTTATAGGTAGTTGGTTTTAGGGTAGGATTTGTAACATGTAAATTTCACCAAATAATTTTTTTACCTGAAATAACCCGTAACTCCACAGGTGGTAAAATCTACGGATTACAACTATTTTTAGTATAGCTACACATCAACTGTGTTATTTGTCTATTAATTTGATATTTATCATATTTTAACTAGGTGACTATAGTGTTCATTATTGATTATTATACGATTTCTAAAAGGATTGTATTAATATAATAATAAATCTGTACAAAATGTTATAGGTACCTACATAATGTTAATCATTATTGATAATTAAAACTATGAATTTTTTTTAAATAATTTAATTTGTATAATATTTTAACTAACTAATGATCATTATTGCTTATATGATATGATTTTTAAAATAATTGTATCTAAATATAATATATAATATATATGTATCATATACTATATTATGCTACTCATTACTATAATATGTTACTATACATAATATGTTTGTGAGGCATATTTTTCTAAGATGAACTTAATTAAAAACAAGGTGAAAATCTTAACGAGTTATTGCAAATCAGTTGCACCAACTTCACATCAAATAATAGGAATTTCGTAAAAACTTAAAAATTTAATTTTTCACATTAAAAATGAAATATTTCTAGTATAATCTTTTTTATTTTTGCAAACAAGTTGAATAAATAAAAAAATAAATATAGATACAAATTTAAAAACATATATATATATATAAACTTAACTATTTATTTATGTGTGTGAAATACAATTTGAATAAATAAATAAGTATAAATACAAATTTATAAAATATATTATATACCTATTTATTAACAAGTTACTCATTGAAACTGTTTGGTAAGTTTCAAAACGGACCCACATATTGGTGACTCCTGTCATATAGTTTATCTGCATGTAAATTATGCAGGTACCAAGTACCTTGTCTATTACCTACATAATGTTAATTTTATTTCAGGTACAACAAAACGCACCTCGCCGGTGGAATTTACATGAAAATAGGTTTACGAATGTAGCAATCAGCGGAATTTGCATGTGCCCATATAATTATATACTTTAATATTATATTGTAACCATCGGTCCTTCATTGTTGACTCCGCCGCAGTCATCTAGTGCCCCCCCCCCCCGGTCAAGTGCAGCGGGCCCCGAAATACTGTCCCCCAATAGTACCTACACAAACTGTGTCCCATGGGGACGTGTAATTTTCACAGGAAACTATCGACGGTGATCAAAAATAGTAGTAATATTATACATACTAATAGCTTACTCATTGGCTTGAAAATACTTATACATACTACATATTTTATAATATTCTTCATTTAATTATAAGAAAAATTAATCAGTAGTATTTATAATCAATGGTACCTCGTAAGTACTTGGAAAATTGTTTATCGTCGACGACCACCGATAACATAGCCAACATAGCAATAGCCTATAACAGTGGTTTTCAAACTTTTATGAAACACGGCAAGTCATACTCCTCAAAAATGTTCACGACACACAAACCTTTTTTTTTGCACTTAATAATTAGACCAATAAAATTGTTTTGAATTATACATTAATGAGAAATGTGTGCTTGATGGGCTAACAAATTTGCATTAATTATATTTTTATTCTTTGATGAATAGTTGATATTGCTCAGAAGACCGCGGCACACAGTTTGAAAACCACTGGCCTATAACATAGTATAATAGTGTTGTTTTGCTTTCGTTAATTAATTATTATCGAAAATTATAATAGTTTTTTGTAACGAACTACGAAAATAATCTTGATACAGCTTAAAAAAGGCTACTTAAGCAATGCGCATTACTTACTACGAGACACTCTTTGCTCTAACAACGAACACAGAACACCTACATTTATCAATATTCAAAATTATTTTGTTCGACATCTAACTACATCACTTCGATCAGGTATTTACTTATTGTCTATTTGAATTACTAACATAAAATAAATATTTAAATATTTAGGTATTTTAATATTTTGACTTAAATATATGTCTCCGATAGGGATACAAGAATAATTTCGCTCTCATAATATTACACATTACAATTAAATATAATATGTTAAGGGCATCTCTTTACTTGCTCCGAAATAAAAATTTGAAAAAAATTAATATTATTATTTTGTATTAAACCAAAGTTCACATTTATCCACTGATAAAAAAATTATTTCAAATTTTTAGTCGAGTGAAAAATTATTTATCTTGGATGGTTACACAGATTTAGGAAGCTACGAATTTGGCTATAATTGGAAAACTGTAACAAATAATTAGCAATAGGTTGCAAAATATCGGCACTTCATGTTTAAAGACGATTGAACAGTCTGGTTACTTGGATTAGCGACTTATTTCCATTGCAATAAAATAGTACAGAGACCAATAACTTCATCAACAAATAATATCATACTATCAAAAATGTACCAGGATATAGGCAGTATTGGCCACTCCCTCCCTTCAAACTTCCCTTGGCAAGGCCGATGATTTAGGCTATAAGGCCAACCCCTCCCACCAAATGTCATCCGACTAACGTTAGCCACCACCTGCCACACTACCTGCCGTGTTTTGGGTCGTACCTACCGTCTTCATTTGGGGTAAAGCCGGGTCAATATTTCAGGTACAATATTAGTCTGCCGACAGCTGTCGTATCTGTGCAAGTATCCTCTTCTCCCACACGTTCACCTACAAATTCATCGTCACGTCCAGACTTTAGTCCAAACATAAAGCTCAGAACGGTTAGTAATACAATGAATTCATTGTGGTCAACAATTTTTATTCCAACTATAATTTTTCGATAATTATATAGTTAATTAAACAGTAAAAATATTGCTATTATACAAATAATAGATGTACCTAATAGGTTAGACGAATTATATTGACGAAAAATACGTATTATTAACACTGTAGGTAATGAAAATAAACATTTCACATTTCTTATAACAAAACAAAATATTATTCATAGTGTGGAATATTAAAATTGCATTTAGTTAAGCGTAGTTTATGAGCTATATCTAAGTACCTATTTTAAGTTATGGTGATCGGAATGGAGTGACAAGGGGATGATCCAAACATATTTATTGGTCCAGTACTAAGCTTATCTAAATACTCATAAACTTTTTTTTTTAATGTTATAATCTGTAAATAATATATTTGATAGGTAAAACAAACTTTTATACATTTATATATAACTAACATAAATGGATGAATAAGTCCAGTAACGGAACTTTGGCATAATTAATAAACTAACCGTCCTAAATTAAATTTGTATGTATCGAAGAACTCTGATAATTATTCTGCTCTGCAATAAGAAATAAAAAAGGTGGGCAAGTGGGTGTCACTCTGCTGTACAGTAGGTTACAAGTGGGTCACTGTAATGGATTGTGTTAAATTTGAATTCAATGATATAGTATCATTGTATAACAATAACAATTCTGAGTGAAGACGGTCAGTCAGCCTATGATATTATTAAGTATATTTTATGATGTTATTATGAATAAATTAAATTATATTTAACCTATTTACGTAGAACTTGGTTTTCAATATTTGACCCTCAGCAACAAAATAATTACAAAATAATCATAAAAAAAAGAATGTGCCTATATATTATTAATATTCTTCATCTACTATTGTAACAGGATATCAGGAGCCTCTTCTTAATTTTTTACGCATTTTAACTTAACCAATGAAATTGTATTGACATTTATAGAAAAAAAACAAAAACTTAAAATTTGAAATTTGAAATTGTCCGTACACAGCTCAAAACTGTTTAACATATTTTGAAAATTTAATGGTGTATAGAAAATGAAAATTTTAACATTCAGTGAAATTTTCATGTATTTATAGTTATTCGTTTTTGAATTACAACAAAATAAGAGAATAACTACATGAGAAATCGAGTGAATATGCAATGTTGTAAACATATGAACTTCAAAAGCTCATAAAAATTTAATTGTAGACTTTCTATTAATATTTGGCCCAAATCTTGAAATTTTATCAACAATTAACAACTAATTTAGGTGCAGAACCATCGTCATGCATTTTTACTCATAAAATTCTTTTTTATAATTAATAGTCCAAGTAGGTAATTTATATTTAATACTAACGTATTATACAAATACCCGATTATAGAAATCTCGAATAATAAACTCATATGATTTTAAAAATTTCATGTTTTCACTAATTATACGATGATTTTATTAGATTGTAATGATAATTAATCTTCGAATTAATTTGTTGACTTTAATTTTATAGGTTATAGTTTTGAACAACGATATCCATTCATCAAATTTATAAACTATGACGTAAGTAAAATTTTCAATATTTATTTAATATTTTAATACCTAAATATATATTTTTTTTATTTATAACAGTGATTGCATTTTTACAATAATTCACAATACCAAAAATATTGATCTCAGTACAGTAAATAATTATTTTACAAGTTATGCTTGTATTATCGATGTGTAATTTAGACAATAATATTTAGGTTGGAAATTATTCATCAATAAAATATTTCTTAAAGTGTTTCAATAATTTTGTCATTCGTCAATTTTTTTCACTATATCATTTTCAATGTAAATTACAAAAATAAATTGTGAATTTAAGCAATTTCGAATCACGGGCACTTCAAAGTTATGTGGTTCGTTTATTTGTTTGTTATTAAAAAATGCACTGCACTTACCATTAGATATGAGCATCATTCGAGCCATCACAGATAGCGTTTTTTTTATTAGGGTTACACAACATTGTAATCTTGTACGATTTCTATAACCTAATTATTGTTTACCAATTTTAATTTCTCGAAATTGTATAACTGAAATACGTAAATTAATTAATAGAAAACATAATATTGTTATTACTTACCAACCTATTACTAATCATAGCCGAATCATATATAACTTATGTATACCTACATATACCGTATACTGTATACCTATATATAAATACTGTCAGTTTCAAAGTATTTTATTGTATTTCAGGTGTTATAAGAATGTGGTAGTTATCATATTAACATTCAATCTGATGGTCGACTGCGCACCAAGGACCCCTGAAATTATAGAATGGAACACTCCAAATCACTTTTGCGGCTCAGCCATCCCGGTTATTATGGGACTAATTTGCAAAGCCCCCGAGCGTATCCCTCCTAAACAGGTTGAAGGTAAGCCCGTAAAGCGGTATAATTAATCATCGAATCTCCATTTGAATTATATTATTTTTGTTGGATATTTTGATCATTAAATCACAGCTCTAGTTGAGTTACTAAAAGTTTTGGGAATTATCTAGATAATATTTTTTTAAATAAATTATCTTTTAAAGTATCTAGATAATTATGTTACGATTTATCTAATTTTTAGCTTAAATAAAAAAAAACCGGCCAAGTGTGAGTCGGACTCGCGCAAGAAGGGTTCCGCACCTTCATCTATAAACATGTTGGCAACACTGCTTATATTATTTGTTCTAGGATTTTTAGTATTTTTTTGTTATAGCTCAACTGAAATACATAATCTGTGAAAATTTCAACTTGCTAAATATTATGGTTCATGAGATACAGCCTGGGGACGGACGTACGTACGGACGGACAGTGGATCCATAATAGTAATAGGGTCCCGTTTTACCGTACGGATCCCTAAAAATGGGCATATGTAGATAAATGTATCTAGAAATTTTAATATAAAATGTGCCTCCACAAAAATTATATTAATGAACAATTATACATTTTTTTTTAATTACCTACAGTATTACTTTACAAACATGAACTAAGAGACATGAGCACTTAAATCGCTAGACTATTAGATTTTTGATATTTGATAAAGAATATATTATCAGTAACTTCATTATTGGTAATTGGCTTAATATGATTGAAAAGTGGCTATATTTTAATGCATAGACATATAGGTATTTTACAAGTCGATTAATATTTAAAAAAAGCTGGTTAGTGGAAGTCGCTCTGCTGTACAGTAGGTTACAGATTGTATTAAAGTTGAATTCAACAATATAATATGATTGTATAAGAAAAACGATTCTGAGAGGAGACGGCTTGTCAGTCTGGATGTTTTATATTGTAATTATTCATTATAGCCTGTAAGTTGCATTTATATTATAATATTATAATTTTTTATTCGTTTCTATGGTGATAAACAAAGTGTGAGAATTAATGTTGCATTTATAGCGGTTTTTTGTAATTTGTTGGTGGCTTTTCCCGTGGCATTAAATTGTTATTGATAAAATCGAAAAATTACCTGTTTAAAGTACCACCTAGAAATGTTGTATACAGGAAAAAAAAACACCATTTTAAAACCACTAGATTCCTGGTTCCGCTCAGTATCTAAAATACCTCGTAAAAATAAATGAATTCCATTTATGTCATCTTTATTTTCTTCTAGATAGTTATCTATTCCCAACACTGAATACTCATATTTTGTAATACATCGTTAATTTGGTAATCGAAGGACAATGAAGCCTATACTTTTCATAATAATATATTATCGATATATTATAATAGGTATAATAGTATAATATAGCTTAGTATTTGGATTATGAGAATGATTTATAATTTTTAAATATCCAAAATACACATTATTATCAAAGAGAAGACTGATGTGGATTGGCTACTTGTAAATAACCTTATTTAAAACACTATAGCTATTATAGTAATAACTAATAAGAATAATACCTCTACCAGCACAAAATGATTACCTATTTATGTTGTTCATTACAGATACTAACCATCGAGTACGGCGCAATATCGTGGACGAATGCTGTAAATCTCCTTGCACCTTAATTTACATGCAATCCTATTGCCACGAAGATCTGGAAAAGTAATTTATGTTATTTAATTTTGGTGATATTATTTCAGGGGTGGGGATGGGTATATAATATTGTTTTTAAGGTGACAAATAATTTTGAGAGCTCATCATTTTACATTATAATTACACAACTTTTAATTTTTTTATAGTAATAAATTAATAACAGTAGTTATTTTAGAAAGTAGTTTTAACATTCATCAGTAATAAAGCATTTTTTAGTTATGTTAATGTAAGTAAATATTGGTCCAATTCTGCAATTTAAAGTTATAAAACCTATAGAAAATAACAAGATTGTTTTTTTATAGGTAATTAGTTAGTTCATAAATAGGTATATTTAAATAAATACACACATTTTTAAAATAAAAAATGCTTTTATTTAGATATAGGTACATTATAAGTATATATAAACCTACATTTGGGTAACGGGTGACCAAGTGGACTAAGGCGTCGGTTTCGAGGCGCACCGACGCCGGTTCGAACCCTGCCACCGGTGGCATTTTTCTTCCGTGGCAGTCACGGTGTCCGGAGAGAGATGCCGTCATCCCCCACCCGGGCATGGCAGAAACCTACGGGTGCCCAACTTGAAATTCTGCCAAACCTAAAAACGTGTTTCAACTTTCAACCAACCGTTTCAATCATTCCTCAATGTCGCAATTAAAAACAACAAAAACTGCATAAATGGGCATAGTTCAATAAAAAAAACCCCTACATTTTCAACAACGGATATATTCGCATCACCTATTGTGTTTTAATTGTTTTAATTATAGATGATTGAACAATATTCAATTTATCTTTGAAAATGAAGTACCTGTTTATTTGTTCTAAAATTAGTTTCCATGCCTTGTTCGTAAATTGAATACTAAAATACCTAATTTTAAACCTATTGAATGGCAATGCACAATAATTAAGCATAATATATTTTATTAGTACAGTATACTCTGCGGAATAGTGTGGCCCGGATAAGCGAATTCTGCGGTTAATCCATAAAATACAAATTCAAACGAAAATTCTATTATACTATTATTAAAAATATATATATTATATAATATTTAATAAAATTTAGATTAGTAGGTACTTAAACGATGTATTATTATTTAAAATAAATCTAAAACAAATAATCTTTACATTTATTTTTTAACGATTACATCATATATCGTAATTTACGTACATTAATCACTATATTTATAATCTGGGACAAACGTATATTATGTGTGGTTGGTTTAACGTTACCCAAAATATCGGATTTCAAATGTTCCAATATTGACCGAGTCGCCAACCATACATATTTTTTTTCTTCGACTCTATACTGCAATAAGTAGTAGAATAATTTATTATTACCATGTTTACAGAACCAGCACAGATAAACCAATTATCAAGTTCACATAAAAGAATTAAAGATCACCAGCAATATAACAACAGACAACTTCAACAACTACAACACTAGGACCAATAGCTACAACCACTACACTGGCTCCAATGTTTAAGATCCGAGCAAATGGACAAAAGATTTGTAATTATTGCTGTACTGATTATTTTAAACAATATAAATATTTTTCAACACATCTTACTTCTATATTTTATCTAACTAAATCATTTTTTAACATTTCGAGTTTTTTCAAAAATAATAAACGACTTTTTTTCAATTTAAAAAAAAAATATTTTATGATAATAATTATTTTTACATTATTATAAGTATTTATAAATAATTTACTAAATAACATTATAATTTATATACCTATTTTAATTTTGAATGAACAAAGTTTTTTTAGAAACAAAAGTTAATACCCTACCTATTTTAAATACTATACGGGCCGGAAGCATATATTTCCGGGATTGGTAAATTGGGTCCCAAATGACCTTATCTCGGTAAATTGGGTCACAGAAAAAAAAGGTAATAGGTAAGTTGAGTCCCGGCAAAAAAAGGTAATGGGTAAATTGAGTCCCGAATATAAAATGTTCATTCTATTCTTTTAATATCTAATATTTGTTCGAATCAAATTTTATAATTATATTATACACCGGTGGATATTCCTAAAATTTTCTTTCATATAAACCTCCTCCGTAAAATACTCTTTCGTTTAAAAAAAAAAATCAAGAAGATCTGATAAGTGGTTCCAGAGTTGAGCCTGTACAAAGATTTTCGTTTCACATTTTTTAGTTAGATATTATATTATAATTTATTCTATTTAAAAAGTAAAGCAAATAGTTGCTTTACTATATACCATTTATGAGCAACAATTTCCATCGGAAATCTCAAAATTCCCGTTATAGCACCTCCCTAGGTAAGTGTTCTCCCTTTTTAAATTAGCCTACCTTTTAAGTTGGACAAAATTACACACAGTGTAAAAAATGTCATCAAGATCGGTCCAGTAGTTTCAGAGTTCATCCTAGACAAACATTGTGACACGAGATTTTTATATAATATATATATAAGATATATTATATATTATGATCTTGGTATAAATTGTAAAAATAAAAAAAATATATTTTGCTACGATTTAAAAAAAAAAAAAAATTAAAATATATTATTTCAATAAATATTTATAATATGTGCACTTAGATAGCAAATACACGCTAATACCTGTATTCTGTAACACCAGCTACCCATCACTATAAAATGTGCGCTTCTGATGGGACAATCTATATTATAATAGTCTGACCGATGCGTGGGTGTAATGATGTAAGGCCGCAGAGTATTAATTAGGAATTGTTTAAGGAAAGGGTTAAAAAATAATTGAATCACAAGAAAATTATGACATTAATTCCCCACCCCTCCTTGCGGTTGGGGTTTCTGATACTTTCCTGATATATTATATCAGACTTCCTCAAACGGGTTTCTTCGTAGAACCCGTATGTTGTTAAGAAGATTCTGAGCCTCAAAAATTTTTAATTCTCACAAAATCTTAATATAATATACATCTCAATGAAAAATTGTACATAAAAGATGTTTGGTTATTATTTGTTTCGTTATAATATTATAATCATAAATTACATAAACGATAAAACCATCTAACATAGTTTTCGACTTCAAAACAAAATATACGGGTTATTATTAATGAATAGTATAAACTAAATTAATTTTTTTAATTTAATTAAGATATGTCCAGGGAACCCTTAGGGCTTAGATTACTATCGCAGTATCTAAGAGCCATAGGGTTCCGCGGAGCACAGCTTAAGAACATCTACAGCAGTGATCACCAACCTTTTTGAACTCCCGGGCCACGTTCACACATTAAAAAGAGTTTGTGGGTCAGACCAAAGTAAAATATTGGAAAATATTTTGAATTCCGTTTGAAATTTTGAAAAAGATTATGAAATTCTGTTGGAGTGTCGAAATAGCTTCAAGAAATTTAACTGTTGACAGTGAAAATTCTGAAGATTCAAAAAAGGTTTTTACAATTTTTATTAAAATGTGTTAATTCATTTTTTTCAATGTGAAACCACAATAGTTTCAACTTTATTTCAAAAGATTTAACATGAAACCACATATCAGAAATAAGTTGATTTTTACCTTGTTGTTTTAAACTATTATGTTAATTTCATTTATATAGGTATATTTCAATTTATCAACACAAAAAGCCAGTTAGTAGTACAATACATCGCCATAGCATGTATTAATTTCAACAAAAAAACTTTGATATTCAAATAATTGTCTATGATTCAGTCCATTGCAACGTTCAATTATATATTTTTTACAATATGATTGTTTTGATATGATATTCAATTAAATGTCGTCGTTGTAGAATTTAAAGGGGGCCGTTTACACTAAACGCTGGTTGTCGACCATTGCTCCACAGTATAGGGGATGCCGGCTATTAAGTACCTATTAATATGGCAATATGCCATACCATTTTGTAAATGGTAATATTATAAAGAATAATTTAATAAGTTAACACCTAAAAATAAATCTGCATATTAATTTTCCTAATAAAATGCATACTTTTCTGCACTAAAATAATAAATGTATTTTACTGCAAAAAATTGAGATCACTTTTAAAAAAAAAAATATGAACTATATAGTTTTAACCGGGTTACTCATGTAAAGAACAAAGTTTAATAAAAGTATATTATTGCTACGTAATTTTTCCTGAGGTAGTTTTATTTAAGTCTCTTAATGCAAATTTAAGGCTTATTTATAAATTATCACAATCCCATAGTACCTATAGCTTACTTTTTTTATACAACTTAAAATAATATATATACTTACCTACTTAAGTACCACAAAACGTAATATATAAAAATTAAGTACTTAGATTGATAAAAAAAATAATGTACATCTCAGGTACAAACATAAAGGTACCATGTAAGATCAAGGCTATGAGGTTATAAGTCATGTAGGTACCTAATTGGTGAGTTCTTGGATCTTAAATATGGTTGGCTACTAGTTGCGGTAAAAATTTCTTCCGAATTGCGACCCGAGTTTTTTTGTGATGGATAAGAATTGCGGCCCGAAATTTAAAATTAAATTAATTGAAATATGTAAATTAAAATTAAAAAAGCTTCAATTTCCATCTCATTTTTATTCAGATTTAGGACCGTCTGTAGCATCAGTAGATACTGTACACTAACTAAGTACACAATTATATATCTATGATAGTATCAGGGTTTGTTGTTGATGTATAACGCGTTATAAGTACCTAATGGATATTGTGATATGATTTATTTGGAATTTATTATAGGTACCTATTATAATTCAATTTTTTTTAATAAAATAGATAAATATAGAATATGTCTTATACCTAGACTTACATACCGTCTCCGCTCAGATCGTTTTTCTTATACAATGATATTATATCATTGAATTGAAATTTAATACCATCCATTTTACAGTGACCCCCTTGTAACCTACTGTACAGCAGAGCAAGTTCTTTTTTTGTGTCCGTCATCACCTTTTAGGACAGAAAAAGTGCTTGGATTTTCTTCAATAGTATCTTTTCTGATAGGAAAGTGAATCTTATTGGTACTTTGGTGGGTTAAAAGTAAAATTTTCAAAAGCGCCGTAAAAAACAAAAGAAAAATTAAGGAAAAACGGGAATTTTTATGCAAAATTTAAATTTTTTGCTAAATCGATTTTGGTGTTTGGTGTTGGTGTTACTCTAAAACAAATTACAGCAGATACATGAAATTTTTACTAAATATATTTTATATTAACATTTGCCATGCCTTTTTCAAAAATATTTTGACTTATTTTGAGCTGTTTACGGACATTTTCAATTTCTAATTTTTATAGTTTCTTATTCTATAAGTATCAATAAAATTTTATTTGTTGGGTACAAAAGTTTGAATATTTAATATTAGGCTCTTGATATATTTTTTCAATGACATATGAAAAATATTAAAAATCCATAGCCACAATTTTTTTTTTATAAGAATTTAAAATTCAAATATTGATAAAATACGTAAAAATGACGTAAATTTCAAAATTATTTTGAGTTAGAAATTCATAAAAAATTTCTTTTTAAATCTGAGATTTGAAAATTGAATACAAGATTCCTCATAAATTTGTCTACATTTATTAAAAAAAAAATGTCTACGAGAAAATCAAATTAAATTTTTATGAGCGTTTGAAATTCATATTTTTACAAAATTTGATATTCACTCGATTTCTCATGTAACGGTTTCCTTATTTTGTTATACCTAATTAAAAAACGAATGACTGTAGATAGGTACTTGGAAATTTCACAGAATGTTAAAACACATTTTATTTGAAAATACAACCATACAATATACTTAGTAATATCATACGCTGTCTGACCGTCTTCGCCCAGAATCGTTTTTCTTATACAATTATATTATTATATCATCGAATTCAAATTTAACACCATCCATTACAGTGACGCACTTGTAACCTACTTTACAGCAGTGCGACATTTACTAACCCATTTTTTCCTGTTTATTTTTCTACTAAGAATTTTAAATGTTGACCTCTCCAATGCACCAACTAGATGCACTTTGTCATTGGACAAGATACTAAAGTTGAAAATCGAATTTCTAGTACTAGTACTAATTAATAGTACTTTTATCGTGTACAGAGACACAAATAAAAATCACACATCATTGTAAAATCAATACATTCATCGTTCCCCTCAGAATCTATAAAGTTTATTTCCATGTTACAGAATGTCCATTTATTTATTTATTTTATTTAAAGAATCTTCAAATTTGTTGAAATCAAAATTTAACTGTGTATTGCAAATATGATTACCAGATAGGTCAGCGGTGGGTAGATATGGAAATACCAAAAATGATTGTTGTCATTCCAGTCCGTCGAGTCTCGGCGGAAACGAGGGTATACCGTCGAACTAATTAAATCTATATTATTCTAATTAATCTAATATTCCAATGCATAACCGTTAGATACTCACTTTGGTAAAACACCCATAGAT